CCACACTTAAAACGCTGCAGCAGTGCAGCTGCGCCGCTGTGGCACTTCAGGGAAGACACTACCTACAGTGACAGGAGGGGTTCTTCCATTGGTATAGGTAATCCGCCTCCCATCGCCCTATTGCTGTTAACACCAGGGGTTAGGTTGGTTTTACTGCCTCCTCCCTCAGGGGTGTGGATTTTTTACACTCCTAAGTGACTTAGTTATATCGACCTATTTTCCTAGTGTAGACCAGGCCTGAGAGAAGGATGTTAAGGGAATTTTATAATGTACTTGTTGCTTTTCTGTTTTTCTTTGCTAGACAGCAAAATCCTTTTCTTCCTCTCTCTCCCTTTAGGCTGCATTGCCTAATCGCTCAAAAGCTTCTTTGTAAAAGGACTGCTTCTGCCACTACATTCTAGCCCCTGCAGGGGTGGGTGCAGCTTTGGTGGAAACCCAAAATACTGGGATTTTAAACTTTAGGAAGGAATTATCCAAACATTTTACAGATTTTAAATATTAAAACAGACATGGAAATCTCAACTGGTTTACTAGTTGAGATACTGTGATACTAATGTACTTGCACTGAACTGATCAGGTCTGTGGTACTTTTCATTTGTATGATCTGTGTAGTATTTCTCTTTAAAAAGGAAAACAAGATTTATAGTTGCTATTATACTACATAACACACATATCCAGTCTTACTTTCCAAATCATCATCAGAATGGATTAAAAATTCTAAGAAGTTACAGAAACAAAATGGGAAAAATGCTTCTTATTGTTTTAAAGATTAACATTTAATGTTTTAAAAACAACTTAAATTTTTTTCAATTCATCTTATTACTAAGTAATCGTAGTAAAGACAGTTTTCTGAAATATTTTTCTTATTCGTGTTTTAAAAAGTTGATAGTAATTGCAACTTTTTCTACTAAAAATAACAGATGCCCTCCAGATGTATTTTAGTCTTTCTTGCTTTCCAAACTAAATTTGACATGTTATCTGCAATAAGGTAAAATGGGGAACTGATGCCAATTACATCTTATGTTACAGAAATACTATTCTTAGGCAATGTTAAAATTATTCTGTTATTTGGCCAATGTTTGTTCCATAAATCCTAATATAGAAAATGGTCAAAATAAATAAATAAAATGCTTTCAAAATCCAGAATACCATTTTGCTATAAAAAAGTTTTGCAAAACTTCCTTGCCCATTCACTCAGACAAGTAATTATTTTCCCCACAAGCCAGAAAAATATCATTAGTTCACTGCATTATCATCACCATTGGAAAGGTGACAAGGATATTTTAAAATTTTTATGTGTGGGCTAGTAAGGTTGACTGTTTTGCGAGCCTGCTGTAATGAAAAAATAAAACCATGTTATAACAAGAGTACCGAAATAGCAGTTCCTTTCCCTTTTGGTTAATGCTGCTCTAATTGTCATTAGACAATGATACAGGTCATGACCCAAATCCAACTGAGCTTCCAATTGACTTTAATGGACTTTGGATCAGGACCTTAATTATTTATGTTTGTTCCCATAGGAGCAAGGTTATTTTACAATTTTTGCTTTACAGTTAAAAAGTGTATCACTTGTAATTATTTGGAGGATTTACTTTGACATATAATTCATGCTTGTGCAAAAATAATGGGCATATATATTGGCTTGAGCTGAATCCATGTTGTAATTTATTAAGTGTATCTGTGCAAAATATTCTACATATTTGAACTGGACGATAATAGAGAGAGAACTGGAATGACTTCCAGCATCAAAGCTAGACTTAATGCAATATCCAAGTGGGTCTTGTTTAGAGCTGACTTCTTTTTTTTTTTTAAATAAACAACCATGACTTTTCAGCGAAGCCTTTTGGATTAAAGACTACCCCTCTGACAAAACTATGCAGCTCCTTTCCATTTCTTTTCCTGCTGTTTTTAAAACAATTAAAGATTTCATAAGAGTCACAGAGTTTAAGGCCAGAATGGAACATTAGTTCATCTAGTTTGAACTTCTGCATATCTCAAGGGCTTACCCAGTTACCCCTGTATGGAGTCCAATAACTTGTGTTTGCCTAAAGCATAGTTCCAGAAAGGCATCCAGTCTTGATCTGGAGATATCAAGAAGAATCCACCTTGGTGGTTTCTTCCAATGTTTCATCACCCTGACTGTTAAAAATTTGAGCCCTATTTCCAATTTGAATTTTTCTTGCTTCGGCTTCCAGTTACTGGTTCTTGTTTTGTCTTTCTCTGCTAGATTAAAAAACCCTTCAGTACTCAGTATTTTCTCCCCAGGAAAGTACTTCTACGCTGTAATCAAGTAACCCCTCAATCTTCTTTTTGATAAACTAAACGGATTATTCTTATGATGAACTAATCCAGTGGCTCTAAACCTTTCCAGATTACTGTACCCCTTTCAGGAGTGTGATTTGTCTTGCGCACCCTCCCCCTCAAATTTCACCTCACTTAAAAACTACTTGCTTATAAAATCAGACATAAAAATACAAAAAAGCGTCACAGCACACTATTACTGAAAAATTGCTTACCTTTCGTTTTTAACCATGTAATTATAAAAAGAAATCAATTGGAATATAAATATTGTACTTTACATTTCAGTGTATAGTATATAGAGCAGAATAAACAAGTCAATGTTTGTATGAAATTTTAGTTTGTACTGACTTCGCTAGTACTTTTTCTATTACCAGTTGTAAAACTAGGCAAATATCCAGATAAATTGGAGTACTTCCTGGTAGACTTGTGCGTACCCCCAAGGACATGCGTACCCCTAGTTGAGAACCACTGAACTAAACTAAACTTCTCGCTGTAAGACATTTTCTCCACCCTTTGATCATTTGTGTGGCATTTTTGCTGCACTCTCTCCAAATTTTCAACATCCTTTAAAAAATATGAAGACCAGAACTGTATGCATTATTCTAGTATCAGTCTTATCCATGACATATACAAAGATAAAATCATTTCTCCACTCCTACTCACTGCTCCTCTGCTAATATAGCCAAAAACTGCATTAGCCTTTTTTGCCACAGCATCACACTGGGAACTCATGTGGGGCCATATCCTTAGCTGGAGTAAATTGTCATGGCTCTATTAACTTCAAAGGAGCTATGACAATTTTCACAAATTAAGGACATGGTCCAGACAGTGTATTTTTAAAACAAAAACTTAACTCCAACTACCAATTCAAGAGTTTTAAAACTTGTCAACATTTTCACTCAAGATACTAGGAAATCTTTGGGGCAGGAACTATCTGTTCTTTGTACTGTGTTTAGTACAATAGGATCCTTGTCCTTAACTAGGGCTCCTAGGCATTATGAGAAGTAGGGGTCCACTCACTGCAGGAGCGCCTCCTCCTGGTTGCTCTGGGGATTAGCTGGTTCCAGTTCTTACACCCCCTCCTGTCAGTTCCTTGGCCTGTGGGTCCCTCTTTCTCTGGGACTCGGGGTGCTTCTTCTTTGTGACTAAGCCCTTTGGCCAGGTCACTACAGTCTTCCCCTTCCAGGGTAACAAAGTCTCTCCGGACAACCATCCTAGGCAGTCTGCACTCCACTCACTGGTCTGTGCCACTTCCCTTGTGGCAGGAACCTGGGCTTGCTCACTACTCTGGGTTCCAGCCCAGGGACCCTTCAGCACACAGGCAAGGTCTGTTCAGACCCCAAACTTGCTGTTCATTCCCTGGGTTGCTTCCTACTCACCTCCCACAGGCTTTCTTCTCCACCCTTCTGTCTTCAGGGTACGACCTTCCCTCAGGGCTAAGGTCCTACTCCCCTCTCTCTATTGCATAGAAGATGGCTGCAGACTTCCTCACTACAGCCCTTTGTGTTGCCAGTTTACCCTAGTCCCACCTACCCCCCACACACACCTGCTCAGGTGACCTTCATCCTCCAATCAGGGGTTGCTCCTTCAGCCTAATCCCATAATGTGGGGCCTATCACACTAACTGGCCCTTTCTGAGCTTCCTTAACTCTTTCAGGGCTGGTGTGGGGTGCACACTCCACCACAAGAGATTCCTAAATTTGTTGGTCTGTTCTTAGAAACAGGAAGTTGTTCAAGAAACACACTTAAAATAATAAAGGGAAGGGTGAGATAAGGACAGAAGAGGTGAATGTGAGAAAAACAAACACAAGGCAAAGTGGGGGCAGTGAGAGTTTGAAGGAGAGAAAACAGGGATTTGGAAAAGAATGGAGTAAGAAAGGAATGGGAAACAGTCTTAAAGTGAAGAGGAAGAAAAAGGAGGCCATGAAAAGAAAGCAAATGGGTGAGAGCAGATGATGGCACAGTGAAGTCTTCAGTCCCTTCCACTTTATTTCTTGGATAAGGTGTTAATGCTCTAGGTTTTCAGAAGTGCAGAGTATTCGGTGCAAACATATATGAGTGGAAAAAGACACTGGGTCCCACTCTCCCTTTGCTGCCGCTAGTAGTGAGGGAAAGGACTGCCCCTCAAGGAACTGTCAGGAGAGGCGATCCTTCCAACGAAGAGACTCTCAGATAGGGCCCTTGCCTTTCAAATATGATGTGGGAGGTGGGGCATCTTACAAGATTCAGTTATTATGCTCTGTGCCCAGTGCATCTGGCATGGTGCTCAGGGGTCAGGCTGACAATGGCCATGTGTAATATCACTAGGCTGCAGCAGTGAGGAACCAAATGCCAAACACCTCCCCCACAGTAATGTTCCTATTCCTATTCATTATTCTAATCCCTGAGCCCGTGCCGCTTCCCGCAGCCCCCATTGGCCTGGAGCGGCAAACCGCGGCCAGTGGGAGCCGCAATCGGCTGAACCTGCGGACACGGCAGGTAAACAAACTGGCCCGGCTTACCCTGGCGGGCCGTGTGCCAAAGGTTGTTGATCCCTGTTCTAATGGATGTAAAAAAGCAGTGCTCAGATACATCACTACTCTGAATAATTCAACATGTTTATAGAATATTAAAGAATATTTTATATTTCAGCTATTTTTATTTAGTTTTAAAACCCGTCTGAAGGATTTTAACTTGCTGACGTTTCTATGAAAAATCAACTGGGGAAGCAGTTGCCAATCATTTCATGTGTGGTCCCTGGTTCTCAGCATTACAGTTCATGGCAGGGTATTGGGAAAAGTTTTCAACTAGCAATAATCACGCCTCAGATTAACCTCATTGGCTATGATACTGCATTACAGACATACTAACTCTTGTGAATTGATTGGGACAGTTGCGATTTCTGAGTAAAATTAAGCCTCACTCACGACCTTGTGCTAGAACTCTCAAATATCAGGATTTTTTTTCAACCCTGGCACAAATGTATTTCCATACAGGAGTTACCCACCCTAAAAAAAGGAATGTGTTAATTCCAAAGTACTTTGAAAGAAAATGAAAATTAATTTACATATCAGATTAACAAGCTATCAAGCTAACAAGAAACAATGTGGCTACACCCCAGCAGGGAAGAGAAACTTCATCTAAGGCCTTGGCTACACTTGCAGCTGTACAGCGCTGTGAGGTAAACCTGTCTTCGTACAGCTGAGTAGGGAAAAGCACTGAAGTCTGTCCACACTGACAGCTGCCAGCGCAGTGGTGTGGCCACACTTGCAACATTTGCAGCTGTGTTGGGAGCGGTGCATTATGGGCAGCTATCCCAGCATTCATGTGGCTGCAACATGCTTTTCAAAACGGGCTGTAACTTGCAAGTGTAGCCAAGGCCTAAGATAGAAGGGCGGGGGAGAGCCAACCTTCAAATAAGCAATTGAATCAATTGAAAACAATTCCTGACATTTGAGAATTCTAAAAGTGAGGCTTACTTTTACTTAGGGCTAGTCTATACTGGCAACGCTAATGCGCTGCTATGGCAGCACTTTAACGTGCCTTGTGTGGTTGCAGCGCAGCGCTGGGAGAGAGCTCTCCTAGCGCTCTAAAAAACCACCTCCACAAGGGGTGCGGCTCCCAGCGCTGAGGCACTGTTTACATTGGCCCTTTACAGCGCTGCAACTTGCTGAGCTCAGGGGGGTGTTTTTTCACACCCAAGTGAGAAAGTTGCAGTGCTCTTAATTGCCAGTGTAGACAAACCCTTAGAAATCCTATCAGCCGCTCCAGGTATGGCTGGGGCTCCAGCTGTCAGCCCTGGGTGGTTGCTCCTGTGCCAGCCTGGGAAGAGGGAGAGAGGACCTCACTGCAGCCCACCCCAGGCCTGTGGAGAGTGAAGAACCCTAAGAAGCAGAGGGTGCTGTAGGGGGGCCTAAAGTGAGGAGGGTGAGGGCTGATGGAGTGGGGGGGGCTGTATTGATGGAGGGTTCTGAGCAGATGGGGTAAGTGCTGGGAGGGTGAACTGAGGGTGGTGGGGGGTCTGACTCATGATTTTTTTATCTCTACAAGTTGGCAATACTGACATTATTACATCACATGCAAAGATTCTAGAACAGGACCTAAGAATAGGATTATAGAAAAGAGTGACCCACCTGGGGGAAGGAAATGAAAATCATACTGTGGATAAATATAACAATATTTCAACAAAGATTTTTATTCCAGTTTATTCTTGAATTATCTGCAAACCAAAGAAGAACTGCTCATTATATTTTCCCCATTTAACCCAATCTCAAAAATTTATTTTTCTTTATTGGTTATGGAGCCAGTTCTTTGTTAATAGAATTTAAGAGACACCTGCTGCAACGGAGGAATGACTAAACGTCTAAAGTGTTCAGTTTTAAACATAAGAGTGCATGTCAGTTGGTTGTTACCAAGGAAACAGGATCACTGCTGTAATGACCCAAAACTGTAACTGGGTGCATGTTCTATTTTTGAGAAAAATTTTAACCTATTCCTAGACTGCTAGAAGATAAGCATGTTACAGGGATAATCTCCATGGGTTAGAAAACATCCTTCCTGCCAGTGGCAGGGATACTTCTGTGTTCATTTGCTGGAAACAGGGGAGTAGGATAAAGAAAGAGAAACAAGTTTTGCCAGGAATGACAACCATTCATTTCTCCTGAATGATCTGTCTTTCATTACTAATCCCTTTTATTACCGGGAGGGAAAGCTAGAAAAAAAACATGTTACAATGCTTGAGGTCACAACCAACATACGCATACACAAAAAGCAATTAATCATGGTATATAACTAAACACAACCCAGCATGGGCCTGATTTTTCTTAAGTAGGAGTAAAAATGTGTCAGGTGACAGCGTAGCTACATTGTACAAACTGATGGGCAAGCTTTGTTAAGCAGCAACCTACCCAAAATGTCATTAAAACAGCTCTGCACATTATTAAACAGGGAAGAGAGGAAGCAAACTTAGGTGCATTGATGGTTGCTTATTTTCATGATAGGCAAACTGGCATTCTCACTTTCCATGATTTGAAAAAGAGGGAGAGGGAACAGAATCTAAAAGACACACTGGCGGCAAAAACAGTACAAAGTTTTAAGCTGGCGCTTGAGGAGCACTGTAGGGAGTCTGCTGTAGTACTGAATATAATTTCTTGTTTTCACTGTATTTCCAGTTCATCTTGGGGTTTTAGATGCACATCTGTTTATAGTGAAAAAAGAGAGCTACATACCAAGTGCATTTTGTATGCTTGACTTAAACCCTTATCGTTAATCTTCTTGCTTTAAATTTTTGCCCCAAAGACCTTGAATTAAAAGCATTCTCTAGAGCACTGCTGGTATATTTGTAAATACAAGTGCCACACACTTTTCTTGCTGTATGTCAATAAATGTATATACATAATGTCAGCATTGCCTGACTTGATTTTATTTTTTTCCTGATACAAAACTAAGGAAGCATTTCTACTTTACTCAAATGGCAACTGTAAAAGCTGATAAGCTCTCAAGTGTTCCCAACTCTGACTGGATAGCATTCAAGTACTGTATGCACTAAATTATTCCCTTCATGAGCCCTCTAAAGGTAGCTTTGCATACAGAGAAGCTTGATGGCATCTACTTGATGGGAATATATTCATAAATACCCATGATTTAGCTATTTGTGAGGATTGTTGAACAATTCATAGCAATTAACTCTGCAGAGCTAAGTCTTATTGTAGTTATTTAGATGCTAATCTAGTTTAAGAGTCATACTGCTTGAGAGTGAAATGGATTTTTGCTTTATAGCAAGATTTAATATAAAATGTGAGATTTTATAATACAAAGAAAACCTTCAGTATTACACATTTATTTCATGGCATGCCAGTTTGATAGAATACCATCAAGAGTAAGCAACACTGACCCAGGCATGTTCTTTGAGGTATCTCGGACCTGAAACTGTGACAAGGTTAGGTGTTTCATTAGGGCTAGATCAGAGGGATACATTTTGATTATGAAAAAAATCAAAAGCATAACACAGGAAAAAATGGTTTGAATTATATTTATCCTGGACGCTAAAATACTTCAGAACAAAAATGCCTTAAAATATTGCATATATTTTAAAGGAAGTATGGATTAGCTTCAAAACACTTTGGCTATATTCTCCACTAGTGAGCTGTACGCTACAAAAGTTGTTACAGTGTAATGTTGTAGAGGGAGGAGGAGGCAGTGAGGGATTGCAATGAGCCTTAGGGCTTGTCTACACTGGCAGTTTACAGCGCTGCAACTTTCTCACTCAGGGGTATGAAAAAACACCCCCCTGAGCGCAGCAAGTTTTAGTGCTGTAAAGCACCAGTGTAGACAGGTCGTTTTTTTAGAGCGCCACGACCACACAAGGCACGTTAAAACACTGCCAGTGTAGACTAGCCCTTAGGTTTTCTCCCAGAAGTTCAAATTCCCTCTATAACCAGGAAAACATATCTGACATGACATGTTTATATGATTACTGCACATAGTTCATGTGCTGTATTCAATACACAGTTTTAAACAGACAACTTTTTGGAAGCTTCTGAAAACAGACAAACCTAAAAGCTTAGAGAATTATTTTAGAAAAGTGTGAACTCTAAACTATGGAAACTGGGACTTCCTGTGATGTCTTAGGGCACGTCTTCACGCTCTAAAAACCCCACCTCCACGAGCGAGAAAGTTGCAGCGCTGTAAAGTGCCAGTGTAGACAAGCTCTGCTCTATGTCTGGCAGAACCAGAAAATAAAAGGATTTGGACAAAAAAATTAAAAAATACAGTTAGGGACAGTGACTAATTCTCCACTAAGATGCCCTGGTTGAGAGTTCTCATGAGAGAGCTGACAGACAAAGCGGAGAACAATCTGCGGTACTGATAGCAATCAAGGAATTCAAAATAATATAAATTAAGGCCCTGATCCAGCACTGAGAATCATGAAGCTCCACATGGGCACAAGAGCTGCCTGTGCACTTCTCAGTGCAGGATTTGGGCCTTTATCATTCCTGAAGGGTGACAAAATATATTTTTTCCTCTGATTCTAAAAGAAAAATGAAATCTAAAAATGAATTTTGATCCTACAGACATGACTCATCAACACCAAACCTGCTTTTGTATCAATCCCCCCAAAACAGAAAAGAATTAACTTGATAAACACATTTCAAAATTCCTGTGGAAGAAACCAAGACAAAAATAAATTATTACAGCTCTTAAAAAAATAGATGTATAGCCTTGCCACATTCATGGTTATATCACTGTGCAACCCAACTAAATTTTATGATGTATTGGAGCAAAGATAAGATCAAATGGCTACATGACTAATACCACTAAGAACTATGATTTTTTGGTCAAGCAAATCAGAAAAAGTTCACAGGGAAATAATCCATGGATTTCTAGAGTTCAAAATATGGGAACATGTGAAAAAGAGACTAGTACTTCCAAGTGATATTTCAAAACTGATCATCATTTGCAAAATCTTAGAATGTTATACCTGATTTATCAAAATATATTAAAAAAATGGGTATTTTAAGAAATTTATTTGACAACATTGAGCTAAAGTACTTCCCACATCTGCCAGAACAATAAAAGTTATGACAGGGATTTTGTATCTTCCTACAGTTAGTTTAAAAAAACATAAGAATTAGAGAATTAAACTAGATTTTTCTTCAGGAGAGGACTATATAAGATAGATAATCAGATCTCTGTTAAAAAAATATAAAAAATCAGTACATTAAAGGCACTATTTTTCCTTACAAAACAGCAGGGCGATATTGAAAATATGAGGTTAGATGTGGGGAATTGAACCAGCAAATCTCTCCAGAGAACTGGAATGACTATGAGCAACACAGGTTCCCCTTCATGAAGAGAATATGAACAG